AGACAGATTATTCTAATATCCTGTCTTAAGAGAATATGCTAAGCGTAAATAATAATATTTAAATTGTAAATAGAGTTTGTTGTTTTAATTAAGAGACACCTAAAATATTTTGCCTAATGTCCTATCAGAAATTTACATATGAATATTAAAACCATTCATTCGAAATACGAGTAATTTATCATTGTCAGATATTTCGTGAAGGTTTTATATCCGCGGTTAGAAAAATAGGGATTTTTTAAATTACTCAATTTCTGATATTTGACAGGTCATCTTTTATTCTCCTATAATATTCGAATATTTATGAAGGTTCAAAGTGCAAGTTAGAATACTAATTCAGTTCGTTTCCCTTCTAATCCATCATCACATAAACATTTTTTGCATTATAATTTCTTCTCTTTAAAACTAAATCAGACTCATCCCATGGTTTGTTAAAAAAATCTTCCCTTTTTTTCACCTTTACTTTATCGGATTACTTTCAGCTTCTTTGGCATCGATTAATGCTTGCCGAGTACACGTTTTTCCATTTTTGCCAGCACAAAACCCCTGTCGTATCCCATTAATATTAGGACGCCTCTTGTTGATGGAAATTACTCTTGATACACAAAGAAAAAATCACCCTCATTCGCCGTTCTCAACTTATTGAATGCTTTTCCAAACTCCTCGGCATCACCCCTTATCGCAGGATTGGTCGTAACAAAAATTGAATTTGCAGGAAAATTTTATAACACCTCTATTGCATTACCGTGGTATTAATAAAAAATCCCCAAAATGTTCAAAGCTACTATGACCTACAATATTATTTATCAGAATACCTATTCTATTAGCAGTATTAAACCAGTGTGGTAATATTAAAGCAAAGATGCCGGTTCTGGAATTTTATCATCACATCCCTCGTCACTACCCCGTTTACGTTTAAAGTTGAAAGCAACAGCTAACACCTATAAATCATTTTGATGATATGAATAAGGTTATCAACTGAGCGATTCATTGATTTATCCTTTCATTATGACAGACGATAGACCTTGGAGGAAATTTGTTTGAATTTTCCGGAGGTGACCTTGGGAATTTCCCTGCTGGAAAATTCGCGATACGCGTTAAAAATTTGACATATAATGCGAAGTCGAGTAGAAAACGTTAAAATGAAATACCTATGTGTGGATTAAATGGCACGTATTAAACGAACTTATGTACTCGAGTTTTTGCGAGTTAAATTCCAAAACAGTACGAAATTCCGACCTCAAAATTAAAATTCCTGCTCGATAGAGTTTGTCCGTGGAATGAGATGGGCGAAAGTGCGGAAATAAATGTTCCTGGCGTTCATTAAGTGAAATCTCCCTATTCAGAATTCATTTTTTGTACAGAGGATATTCGCCGAAATATTCTAGTATGTACAGAGAATATTCGAAAATCATTTCATGAATTGCCCGTTAATGTCTTTTTATTTAATTCTAGTGGTATTATTCATTATTCATTACAAAGAGTAGAGTCAAACTTTGATGCTGTCTAAATATATTTACGTGAATAATTTAATTTGGGAATATATGCAGATGGGTGTAAGAAATGTCCCTGTAGGTTTCGAGTCAGAACACAAAACGCTGAAATCCTGGAATAGTTTAATATGAAATCGTAGCTTATGGAGCCAAGGAAATATGCAAATTTTTTTCCAGAGGCAGCTACAATTTTAATAAAAATAAAAAGTATTTCAGCGTTTGGAATTGTTTCATACACCTAACAAAAATGACAAAATTAAATTTATGTTGGAACAACCGGAAACAAAAAGAGTTAGATATGTAATTTCGACAAAATGAACATAGCATGGCACGTGTTTTAATTTCATTTTAATTAACGTTTAAATTAACGTTTTAATTAACTTACTAGTCGTATTTTTATTATGACATGTATAATGTAATATTAGCGCTTTGAAGTATCACAAATCTAGACCTGCAGCTATAACACAATCAATAATATAATTATGGAATTCATCAAATGAAGTTATCACCTGCAATTTCGATAACGTCCGTACAATTAATCCTGTATTAAATAGAAATAGACTAATTGACTTAATAATCTACGATAACCAACCGGTAGTTCCAATGTAACCGAACGATATCAGTTCTAAAATTACCATTTCAAAACGCACAGAGCCGGATTTAAACCGATTTACACCAACAATAAGTTAGGGAATAAAACGAAAAAAATTATCCCAATTGAAATCGTAAAACTATTGTGGAAGCATCAGCTTTTTGTTATCTAAAAACGTCCTTTTGCTCCTGTGATTAACGATCTCTTTACCAGAACAGAGCTTCCAATTCCACTAATTTGAAAACTAAAACCATATAAAAGGCCGAAAAAAGACCATTTAACATCCCACGCAAAAGGCTAGTTGGAAAAAAAAGTATACCTACACCATATTATCGCCATTGTTCGTTTAGTCGAATTCAAAACCGTCTCTGCAATACGATGCCATCAATCGAATTCTGTATGGAAAACGGATCAAACGGAATTGTAAAGAGCGTAATGAGAGACTGCGGATTTTCCCAAAAAAGGCGCTCTAAAAGCAATATTTGTCTTTAATAGAAAAGCTAAATGGGTATACATGTGCGGTGGATTTAAACAAGGATTTTTCACTACCTCTTTTCTTGTTTCAAACCGATTTTTCTCAATAATTAACCCGATTACACCGACAGCTCCATCGCGGGTGCATCTAATATTTGTTCATTAATAATAATTTAAATAATCAACCACGTCCGAGCGGATCAACACATGGCGTGCAATTGCACGACACGTGCAGGTCATCACCACCGTATTCGAAGGAGCACGGGAAACGTGGCCAGCGTTTCTAGTTCACTTCCGAGTCCCGGTTTAGTGGACTACATCTCTCCGTTGTCCCATTTCAATGCACTCGATCACCCTAAAGTTCCCTACCGCATCCCATGAATTTAAATTGCACGGCCAATGCCAAGACGAGTGCCAAGATATGGGAAGTGACTGCGTGACCGCCGCACGATGTTGCTGTTATGATACACGTAGTTTTAATAAACGTGGAAGAGCAAGGAGAATGTTTACCAAACATATTGTTAGTGGCGAAATATATTAGATTGGGAGAATAGATTCGTAGTTAATAAACGTTACAAAAGCGAATTAGCGTCGAATTTCACTGAATAACCCGACACAACATAACGTAATTCCGGTTGAACTGGTAACTCTTAACTTAATCTAGTAGGAAAGTAAAGCGCATTTACTCATGGTAATAAGGACGCGCCGTTTTCCAGAGGTCCTGCAGATAGCAGACGTAGGTCCACTTCCGCCGAAGTTGACCCCGTTTATTTTCCCGAAAGTCGCAAACTTTCGCCATTAGGAACTTATCTGGCGAAACACGGATATGGGAAGTTTCAAAGCGCACCATATCGATGTACTTAACAATTTAAAATAACGCGGTTTTCGGTCTAAAGTCGAATTTTTTGGTCCCCGAAATTTACATTAAAATTCACCTTGTGACAAAATATTTCGTCTCGGGGCTATCCCGTTTCGTCTAGTTTAAGAAACCTGTTAACCTGGACAAACATCTTACGGATAAAGGACGAGATTTCGTTGGATCTCTTTGCTTTAAAGGGTCGCTAAGCCCGTTGGAAAGCAATTAAAGGATTAAGACAGGTTTAACGCAGGTCTTATGACGACAAACGGGATTCGGCACGATTTAGGCGGTTTTATTTGTAAGGTCGAGTCCTGCGGTGATCCGGAGAGGGATAGTGAGGTTGCGGTGAAAGGGCAAAAAAGGGCTAATTAATCGATTCGATAGATATCTAATGGGAATTTCGCGCTGGGTTAATCGGACAGGAGAAAAACGATTTATTATTACAAGATATCCCGGAGCTAATGTAATAAATCAAACATTGGTTTATACATAAAAATAAATGTTAACTCAAAACGTATTAAGCCGAGCGATTTAAACGCAAGTACATATGAACATTGGGAACGAAATGGCGACCTATCTGCGCTAGTGTCGGCGCGAAATAGGCCTTGAAAGGCATTAACAACACTCATAAATGGAGTTAGTTTATCGTCGGGACTGTATACATTTCCGAATATTCAGCTTTACGATTTCACTGCAGACATTACATTGTAATATACGCCCGACGATTTTTTCTAATTGCGCGAAAGTGGCGTAAATCAGTTTTATTGAAGCGGGGAGAGTGAATCTAACCGTAAAATAAAAATTAAATCGCTGAAAATTATAGATAGTTTCACGAGGTGGAAAACAATTATCTTAACTCAACGTTTTAAGGTGTACCTATTTGATATCTAGTAGAGGAAATAAACGGTTTTGTTGTAAAAATCGATATTTTTGGCATAATTTAATTCGAAATTCATGAAATAGCAAACGGACAATATCCGGGGAAATTAAATACTTACGCGAAATACATATAGCGGATTCCCATTTGTATGATACAACAGATTTAACCGACGCTTACACAGATTTAAAGATAACGCATTCGAGTTAAATAGGGCTAAAATGTGTAGTGTTGTGAGTAATGGATTGCTGTTTGGGCACTTTTATTGCTTGTACAGGTATGAGTGCTTATAAGCGCTTATACAAATGCACATTTGCATTTAGCAGAACTTCAATTTTGAAAAATATTTCAATACTAGTAAATTATTTGTAGCACCTTGTATATAAAACAAACGGCACAATCGACACTTAAAATACCTTAGCTATTTTGCAATTATAAACGGCCATACAATTGGATTTTATTACTACCTACTGCTTAAATTCGAATTCTTGCATACTAGCTCTTTATTGTTTTCCTTATTATTTCGTTTATCGAATCGCAAGATAATGGGTAGCAAAGAGGAAACACAATAATACAACATAACATACATTGACACGTTCGGTATCAGGAAAACCACCTATTCAATTCAGTTAGTTTCTGTTTTCTAAAGAGCTCGGTACTGTTGAATGTATTTTATGTTATTGTCTTGTTCCAAAGACGTTAGTGAATATGAGCACTGACAACGACAATAAGGACAGTGACGGTAAATATTTATTAGGAATATTTTATTAGAGGCGTGCACCGTTAAAGTTGTTTACCGATTTAAAATCCATTCAATTTATTGTGGAAAGCTTTTAAGTATATTAAACCCTCACTCCATAGAAGCAAAATATAACAACAAAAAAATCGAAAACATGAGCTATATCAATCAAAAATATTATTCATTGTCCTTTTCAAGAGCGGTTTGGACGCAAACCTGCAGGACTTGGATCCCTTTTCCACTTCAAAACTTCTCATTATTATTTTGTTTACTTTTTTGTCGATGGGTTGAAAGCTCTCGGTAGCCCACACTATACGCACTGCTTTCTTACCTAAATTGCTTCTATTGTCCTCTTAAGGGATTTCATTCTCAAAAATATGCGCAAGAGAGATTCAAAAAGCATACATCATTATTTAAAGTACCCACTATTTTTAAATTGATTTAAATCGACCGTTTTTTATATTTACATAGTTGCATTTTTGGGAGAAATTATTCGATTTACAAATAACTTATTGATTAAAATACGACACGCACACACCATAAACCGCATGATTGGTAAATATTTTTTGTGGTAGAAGAGTGCAAACGACAATAAATATTTGTTCCCTATATTAACCGCAGCCCGCACCGGTGCAGGTCCGTATTCAAAAATTTAGTTTTGTTGGATTAAAGAAAAGTTGGAAATGTTGTTGTTAATATTTCCAGTTAGAAGATAATAAAGATAAGCATCTGGCCTTTACTTGAATCGGATTATGTAGATTAAAATGCCCTTTACAAAATATTATTTGTACAAGCAACTTTTACCTAGAGGTATTTTATGGGGGTTGGGGGTGTTTTGGGTTTGGGTATGCGCTCTTTACCTGTCAGTGTTGTTTCTCAACTGTAGTTGTTAAGGTGAATTTTCAAAGTAAGTATAATGATAAATTTTTGAAAATTTGTTTTTGGTAAATTATTTGTTATTTTCAGATGCTTTCTCAATTAATATTTTTTACTCTAATTTTAACCTGTAACGCATTGAACAGAACGACTACCTCACTTCAAAAATCGTCCAACACATCCGCTTCGATATATTCCTGGTTATTTTCACGCAATTTCACTCTGGGTATGGGCGTTGCGACAATAAGTTTTACTCTAATTGGAATCGTGGCGTTTTATTACCCATTAGCCCTGTACCGAATCTGCTACAGTTTTGGAGGTTGCCAGGACACATTGGACAATTATATCAACCAATTTTTATCAGACACTGATAGCGGAGAAGCTAAATTGAACCAAAGGAAACGAAATGCCAGGGATATGGATCACCCTGTATTAAAAGCACTGGCAAACGCATATAGGCAGTATGAACAACTCGGCGGAAATGAAGAGACCTTTAAGAAAAACATGGCAAAATCACCTGTTTTTAGAAGATTGTTAAATCAATAGCACTGTATTTTTCTAAACAATAAACTTAATTTTTAAATACACCTTTCATTCGTTCCTTTTGTTTGATCATTTTAATTACTATGAAATTAATATTTTTCATGCTATTGTAGATTTTGCAGACGAAAAGGATAATGATATTCCGCTCAAAAAGCCTAAAGGAAAATCTGCCTCTAACACGAAAACGATAAAACGAACGGGCGACGAAGAGAAAGATGTAGATGAAAGTGCGGATGTGGACGAAAACGATGGCAGGAGGAGAAAACGTTCGTTGCTCGTCGACGAAGGTGAAGCCGGACATGATGTGGAAGCGGGAGTGGATCACGAAATTAAAAAAACCGGGAATAGTCTCGCCTCGAAAAAATCCGTCGCTCAGGGTAAGCATGTTTTATTATTTAGCTCATTTTTTTCTGAAATTTTAATCTAATTTACTGCATTATAAAAAATAAAATATAAACCTCTAAGGGCTGCGGACGAACCGAACTTTTAAATGGAAATAACTGAAAAATTACCATTTGAATGAGGTTCTTGCAGGCGCGATAAAGGAGTTGCAATTAACAGAGGTAACTTTTTGGAGAATTTAATTATAAACTGTTTGGCTCTCCTTCGACCGGAATATTGGGATGAGAATCTCCAGCCTATTACGTTTTTTTTTGAACGTTCCATGAATAATTCATCTCCGATAAATAAATTCAATAAACCATAAGACAGAAGTATTGATTAGATTTATTTAATTCGGCCTCGAATAAGACTCCGCATTTCGCCTCGCAAATCCTTATTAAACTCGTTTCGAAATTAGCTATGAGTTAATGCAGAAGAGCCGCTTAGCTTATCTAATTAACAACTTATACAATGAAGTATTGACATCGATATATTTAAACGCAGCGCTCTAATTAAGCTAAATGCGACCGAACCTAATACCACATGCTCATTAGAGGAACAGGGAGTTCATCAACTTATACAAACATATCAACAATGTTGAATCAAATTATTGGTTGCTTAGATAGCGAACGCCGAAGATCCTTGTTGCAGACAGACACATTAAACTAGCAGTAATTAATATAATTCCTCCGCTTTATAACGCATTCCGTTGGCAGACATTAATTGCTATACTATAATCTAATATCAACTTTAGTTCGTACAAAATTTAATGAGCTAACGGAAATGTGATATTATTTGATGTTAATAATTTACAAATTGTTATCGAATACGGGACTAAAGCCTGTTGATAGACGGCTCAATTTCAAACTGATTGTTAATAGTAATTTCACGTTAAATTTGTAGTTTATTGTTTCGAATTTTCGAGCACCTTTTTTTCAGGAATGATGGACATCGCTTTGATAACAGCGAACGCCAACCAATTGCGGTATATGGTCGAATACAATCAGCACAGCTCGACCTTCTACGTCAACATCATCCTCATATCCATATCTTTAATACTGCAACTCGCCATGGGAATAATTTTGATATACAAAACTTGGCTGTACATGCAAGGAAAATCGAAACAACCTGAGGCGAAGAGACTTAATATTTACGTAACGGCGGGAGTGTTTGTCATTACTATCATAAATGTTTTTATTGCTAGTTTTACGGTCACCGGTGCTCCGCCGGTTGCGTCCAATAAGCGATAACTCAACTCGTTTTGCGCTATTCGAGGCGGCATTGCAATTAATATTTATAAACAGGAATCCGTGTGAAATAAAACAGGAAGGATCAAAAGTATTTTTATTTCTAATACACCCCTATCGTTAACTGAACACAATTCCTGATGCAACTTGGTAGAGTATTATACATGTTAAAATGAAAGTTGCAAACTATGCAAATAATGTATTCCATTGTTTCCATCCTCGCTTTAAAATCCGATAAATAAACGAAGGTAAGCTAAACTTTAGTATAGGGTATAAGGGATTTAAAACTATGGCGGACCGCAATCATTCCACATCTATTTCCTGGAGTTATAAATTCGTAACGCCACATGCTCTCCCCAAGGCGGCGACACACTCTGTGTAAACCGGCGAGAATTTCGCGATTCAGCGCATCAGAAATGAATTATTAAAATTCACTCAGAGCGAGAATCACGGGCCGAGGGGACCCTCTCGCCTCGTCGACGGGACAAAAAAAAATGCATTAAATGTCACGGAGTTCTCATAATTTTCAAAGGTAAGCAGCCTTTTGCATTATAAATTAACCGCGCGCTTTGCGGAAGTCGCCGTTCCACTCGATTTTTCCAGCGGAACGGAACCGGTTACCGGCAAATATTTGAGGAAAGCGAATTCTCATCCGACGGGCGTGTATGTTTGTATTTACCTATGGGAAAACCTCGCACGACACAAAGTTGAGCAAATAAGAAATAGTAGGTATGTTATCTAAAAAATATTTATTTTTTCGGCAGCTGTGATACTCGTTCTTGAATAACTGAAAATATAAGTGTTCAAGCAAATATTTAAAATCGATCGATACTAGACTGTAAATGGCGCAAATAATTTCCACCGTGTGTGAGTTTGACATCACTTTTATCAAAGGAGAAATTCAATAACGAAATCCGACGAACATTTAATGAGTATGTTCGTTTAATAAAATTCTCCGAGTGAGAGACCTAGAAAAGCTTTCGAAATAATCCGAATCGATTCCTCAGTGAGCACCCTAGATGAAAATTCAATGGGCTATTGTTTCTCACATGAAATACTGTATTGTCTCTTAAAATCCTTTATGTATAGCTCGAAATTGGTTCTATAGCATTGTATTTTCTTCGATTAAAAGGAAAGTTTTAATACTTTGGGTATAGTTGGTGAGATAGTTTCAGTTGTAACATAAATTGTTTAAAATGTCGGCACGTTGCTTGCTAAAACAATCGGGTTTTTTTGTTTATCCTGCTGTTTAAATATTGATTCGTTGATCAACAACATATTGGATACAGAAAGCGTTGGTGTAGATTTGATTAAATTTTAAATCGAAATCCTACCTCAATTTTACCCACTCTTCACACGTGAAATATTATTTTATCCCAGAAAATAGATAATTTTTATCAAGCTAAATCTATAAGTAAATGAAACGCTTACATGCAATTCATTATGCATGCAAATTATATAAAGCTCGAGTAGACGTGGCTTTGACTCTATAATTACACGATTTTCCCCGAGATGTAATCAAGAACTCTAAATGCTTTTTATTGTTTACTCAAGCTTTGGGAGATCAGGTAAAGTACAAGCTCGTCAACATTTGCACTAACATTGGCAAATTAATACCAATAGAAAAAAAATCGTGGTAAATTCACTGAGTAATTCTGCACAATTCGATAGAAAATGTTATGCAAAAGTAGTTGTCTATGTAATTTGATCTTGAACTTATTTAAATAAAGCAATCTCATTTCAGACTCAATACTGCTATACAAGGGTAAATTTTTAAATTGTTTAGATATCTCTCTATTACCTCTGCTATAAGTACATCGTATTAAAGTGGCTTCGTTTGTATTCGAATGATCAATATTAATTTCAACAGGAAAATCTGCGCTCAATTTTCAGCCATCAGGGATACGATCCCGTGGGGATTGACAATTATTCCGAAAGTATTCTCATCGTTGAAATAAATATCTGCCTGGGATCTCATCAATTACGCGGACCATCGGGGTAAAATCCGTTCTCTTTTCCGCCTTTACCTTCAGTCCTCTAATTCATTTTAATATCAATCTTATTTTTCATCTAATTCACTTACGAATTAAGAGGGGTAAGGTATTTTTAAATTTCATCGAGTAATTGATCGAAATTAAAACGTGTATTCACCTGATTTTTCTTTATGCGATTCGCATTCGAATTTCCTCCAATTTGCAAAGAAACTTTTTCCGTTTCACGACAGACTCGTTGTATATACAAAAAATGTAATTTCTAAATTCGACTACGCGATGAGATGATCTTCATTACCATCAGTATTACTCTTGTAATTTATTCGACGAGATTTTTTTCATCTGGAAAATCCCAGATGATGCCTTAATAATAACAGAACAGTTGTCTGTTGAAATAATTTATTCCCCGGCTGGACTAGAGCTGGAAAAAATTCGACGTTATAAAATCAATCCCTGTCCGCAATTTTTTTTTTAAATCTCCTTCGATGAAAAGGGATAATTCGCGCACTCCCGATGAACGAGGAGCGGAAATAAATTTGTTTCGTAGCAGGAAAATGCGAATGCTGCTTTCAAATTCAATCCTGCTTCTACTGGTCGCTGTTTAATTTGATTCCTGGTTTTAGAACTTTTCCTGAATTGTAAATATCCCGATATTCCGAATGCATTTTGCAGGGACCTATTTCAGTTCGTTATGTCGATAAATGAAAATTGTATTATGGGTCACGTATACGATTTTGTAGGAATATTTTTAGGTAAACCTGGTAAATCTGGTAAAAAAAGTCGCTATTTTACCCGGAAAATACGATTTAAATAACGGAGGATATGTTTTAGTGCTTCGTATAGTTTTTTCAAGAAAAATATGGATGATACTAGAAAAATGCAAATGTGTTTAAAGATTTACTCGTTAGGTTAACTATAATAAGATTTTTATGCAGTTCGAACAAGAGTTGTAAATTTTCCCAATAGAACGTTCACTAATAAATTTTTCTAAAGCTAGTACAATTCACTAAGAATTAGTAGACAGGAAATTTAATTCTAAAATTAGATACTCTGCCTTTATCGTTCTTGTAATAATTTAAATAATTAATTAGCCATCAAATCTACTCGACTTGGGTTTATTTTTTATGTTGCTTGCAGAAGAGAGGAACATTTTACACTAAAATTTAAAAATATTCAAATAAATTCAGGTGAATAAAAACTGAAACCCTCTGACATAGGACACGTACCGGTTAACAAGCGTTCCCCGGAGCCCGACTATTTCTCCGGATATCCGCATAAGAATCTTCTTTACTTCGTCTTTTATCTCTACTCACTTGATTATTTTTCAAATATGCACAAGCTACGATAGAAGGCGGCTCGCCCCGCTTTTCTTTCCGAAAAATGAAATACGCCGCCCTTTCGCGAATCTCTAACTAATTTCCTAGTTTCTATAACACAAATGTAACTTTAAAAGCGCGTGGATTTGTCCCTGTTGCAAAATTCGATTTCAACCCACTTCTAATTAATTTTTATTTACTCCGCCCTTAACTTTTTTCCACTAACTTTAAAAACGCGCTATTTCACCTCGACGGGCTTATGTGGAAACTCATTAACAAAGCGTAACCGCGTAAAAGAAAAGTTACGAAAACTCGATGTCCCCGTTTCCATCAAAAGAAAATTTCATAAAGTTCCCGGGGCTATCTGGTCGGTATAACATATGCCCGTTTATAACTTTTCCGTATAAATGAGTCCGCCATTGCTTTTTTCGCGACGAGAGTAGCTCTCGTTAATTGTTTTAAAACATCGTAACCAGTAAATTGTTTCGGAAATTCCACAGAAAATTACCGAGAATAATGCGTTTAACATTGGAGCTGGTAAGTTGCTTATAGTTTGAATTGTATTTTCTCTAATTCTATAGCACACTCATAGACAAACCTTAAAAGCTACCACCGAGAGGAATCTAAAAAAATCATTCGACCAAAATTCGCGAGTTAATTAACGTAGTATAACTTATGTAGTTTATATGGAAAACAAAGCGGTGTATTGTATCTCTCTAAATACAAAGGTCCCTCTAAATTTTAAGCGAAATACAAAATGACCTTTTATCCGAAGCGCAAGAGCAGACATGTACCTTTTTTGACCTCGCTAATATACCTGAAGCGTCCATTCCGGCGAGGGTTCTCATATCTAAACATGTAAACTGTTTCAAATTTTAATCAAGTACAGAACCCCAGAGGTGGCACGACCGCGTACGCGGATTTAAAACCATTTCGGATCCAAAACCAGTGACGTACCGCAGGATTACCTTCCGTTTGCTTTGTTACTGCGCAACTACCTCAATTCCTGCTGAATATTTTATTCGTCAAGTGCCACAATTACAAGCGTTGTACTAATATGTAGGAATGTAGTTATTTTTTTTATTCTGAATGTAACGGGGTACCTAATAAAAAAAAATAGAAGAACCCTTTTAAAATCGTAAATAATTATAAGAATCGATAGTGTAGAATCAATTCATGCAATGCCACTGGTTCATTTGTACAGCTAGATTTAGGGGAATTTCGCCTTGTAGGGATTATCTAGAGGCAGGAATGCTGTTTTACATTTCCGAAATGATATCTTTTGATAATTAATATTCACTCGGAGAAATCCATGTGTATGTAGCTAATATAAATTCAAACAATACGACGAATCTCTAAAATAATTTAGTTGTACCGTTTGTGCTTCGAAATGATTGAATTAACGAAACAATTTCGGAATCTCCATTCCGGCAAAACTTCAAAAATCCCCTGCAATAAACCCTAATAAAAATCTCGGTAACATTATGGCGTAAAAGAAAATCATTAAGGGGAAAACTTTCGCCGAAATATAAACAAGAAACCTTATTTTATCTCGAAATACACTTGGTCGGCCGTTAAAGCCGTACAATCCGCGCGGATTTCCGGAAGAAACCTCTTCGTTAACTAAAGATATATATGCCGATGGGGAGCATTTGATTAAATTGTTGAAGTAGACAATTCTGAAGTAAATTGATGG